AGAGGGGAGAGGGAGTTCTCTTTCTTCCAGTGAATGTTATACTTTTTGTAACGGGTATTGTGAGGGCATTTATCATGTGTGGCCCCAAAAAATCACAGCCATACTATGTGGATTTACAGGTTCCTGGAAGGGAAAATTTGATTAACTCTTTAATTCAATAGAGAATTATGTAACCCACAGTCATACTTAGCAGTGCAAAGGCCCCAAACTCATATCCATACCCAGTCAAGATGGAGGGCCATTCCAGCTTCAGTCATCTCATGATCCTGTTCCACATTTTCTCATAGAGGGATTGGGTTCATTCACAGAATGAGGACTGTCCTGTAACTACAGCAGCTAAGTCCAAAAGTCTGTCACCCTGCCTATTCTAGTCCAAACTTAACTTTTTCCCAGCTGCATAACCAAGTTGTGATAAAAGGGTGTAGGAACTGGAGCTACTTCCCATAGGCTTCGACTAAATCAGCGAAATTAGAAAAAGGAAGATAGCAAAACTGCTGCTATTGTTGTTGCCCAGTATAGTGGCTTCTGTCTTCTAGCTAAAACGTTGAAGAACCCTGACTAACATAGTGAGAACCAGAGTACCTCCCATTCAATAGCTAAACACTGGTCCTGACCTGAAAATAGGAGAGGGGAAGGCAAAAGTCAAAGCAAAACACAAAACAAATTTGGGTTCCTGCTCAGGGTGAATTTACTTCCCATTCTCAAATATGAAAGTTACTAACCTCAGTGAAATGTCCTTTCATTCTGAATCTTGAAATCAGCTCTGAACTCTGGTGAGCCTCAGTTTACCCACTGCTATGTAGGAAGAAAAGGAGTTTCTGTCTGCTGTAGCCTGCTCATTTAAATATCTTGAGCAGGTCAGCCAAGCCTGTCTGGACTTTAACCTGCATTACAATCCTATCAATCCTCAGGCTTGCTCTGTGTATGTGGTTATACTTTGCTTTCTGCATGTCCTTTCATAGCATCTTATAAAGTGAACTTGGGTTCACAAAGACTTGTATTCTCTCTCTATATATATTATTTAGTTAGTCTATAAAAGGTGCACATCTACCCTGCCTTCTTTAGCTAACTCACAGCAGAGTTCAGACCTCATACCATGCCACAGGTTCAAGACTTTTCAAAGGAAGTGTCGTGACCAGCTGGTCATCTTTCAGTTGAGCCACACAGCCAAGCTCATAAAAATAGGGAACTCCATTGTTTCACGGTGACACAAATCTAAACAAGTGCTTTTTTAATGAGCATCTGATGAAGTAGGCTGTCTATTGTCTACATCAGACAAAGGAGGAGGTGTTGCCTATGAAAGCTCATGCCTCTCTCAACCCATGAGTCCCTAATATGCTATCTGGCCCTACCTTTTGCCTTTTAAAAAAAAACTTTTAGGATAATGTCAAGATAAGAATGTGGTTGGTAAAAGGAAAAAATATAGATCTGCCAATAATACATGTATTAGAGCCTTTTAAATTAAAATTAGAATGGAAATGCATTTGCTTTAGTGTTTCTCATTATGTCTAGATTGCAACAAAAAAATGGTAAAAATCCATCTAATTGTTAACTAAATGAAATTACTGTCAAATAAGATTAGCATAATCTGTCAGTAAAAGAACTCCCTGAACTCCACGAATTTCTGCTACCTAGGCTAAAATATCTCTAGCAGGGTAAAGTCATTAATATTTAAATATCTTCTGTTATTGCCTGAACAAGATCCTAATAAATTTAAATACTATGTGAAAATTTAGATGATTCTCTAGTTCTCTTCCAACATATCATGCATTCAGGGAACTCTGGTCCTGAGCCAGTGCTCTGAAACACAGTTTGTCATATGTTGACTATTACCTTAATGGGTTGTTCAAAGCTATGTGTTCAATCAGTGGTTTAAATCGAATTTATCTTCAGTTTTCTGACTTGTCTTCCCTTTTAAGTATTAGGAGTCTTACAGATTAACTGTTTTATAAACATTTAGTGCATAATAAAATTATTCTAAAACATTGTCTAACAATTAGTTTGAAGTTTGCGTAAGTGTTGATGCACAAGTTTAAAACTGAGAAATATTTGTTCTATCACGTAACTTTTCACTTTTGCTTGTTAAGATACTTGTGTTGAATATAATTCAGTGTTCAAAACTTTTGTTTAAAACGTGGCAGATAATTTTGCAGCATGAATTTGTTTTACCTTAAAGAACATGTGACTGGTTTGATTTCTTAAGCAAAACATTTTGTTTTCCTCTCAGCATGTGTGCTTTTGCATATAGTAAGACAGGCTTGTTGCAGTGTGTCATCTGCTGTTTCTGTTTAAAGGAGTTACTCCCTTCCCTTTTCCCTCTGCTTTTAGTAAACTTAGCCATAACCCAGATGGTTTCATAAGCAATTACCCAAAAGCTCTAAATTAATATAATTTGGATTCCTCAGTTCTAGACCACCGTGTTTTAAGGTTATTGTTTTTAAGCTATAATATCTTGAACTAGAATCGTGATCTCTTTGCATTTAATTGCTATTTTTGTTTAACAGTGGTTTTGCATAAATTAGTAAATGTCATTCTCAGCAGGTGTTTACTTTAGGGATTTGAACAGCACCTGTGAATTACAGAAATTTAACTATATTTTCCCACTCCTCCAAATTAGTAGCTCAAATACATTCAGAAGTTTTTACCCAAATTATATTTGACAAGTTCTACATGACTCATGATGAATAAAAAAAAAAAAAAGACTTTGTAGAAATTGCTGGGATAAAAATTAAAGAACTGACAACTTTTTTTTGTTTCTTTGCTTTAGGAATGACTGGCAATTACCTACTAACAAACCCTCTTCTTCGACCACATGGCACTAACAACCCCTATAACACATTGCTCGCTGAAACAGTTGTATGTAATGCCCCTTCAGCTCCCGTGTTTAACTCACCAGGTGTGCTTACGCTTACTGAATAAACTTGCATTTCTTTTGCTCTAAGTCCTTTCTTCTCTCTAAATAGAAAATCAAGTTGCATTATCCTTGTCCTGCATTCTTAATTTCTGTCAGTTTAAAAAATACTAGTATTGCCAATGTTAGGCTTGTAAAACTGCACTATATTATAGTAATGCCTTTGCTGTAATAGTATTTACCAATAATTATCCATGTTTTTAACACAGGTGGCATAAATCTTAATATACTATTACAGGACTGACACCACATGGTCCGAGAGCCCATCTTCAAGATATAAATCACTTAGAGGTATCATGTCTATGCAATATAAGGTTCAGTTGACTCTAAAGCTTGCTGAGAAAAAAAAATGCTAATGGAGCTGATTAGATAATAAAGCATGCAAGGCATCTTGACACCTTTGGATATCCTGGTGTAGAAAATTGTATCCAGCTTTAAATAAAGCCAAACTATAGTATAGTGCAGCTTTATGTTAGCTTATTTATTCAGGAAAATCTTGAGGTTATAATTAGGACAGTTTAGTTCTGTAAGACTAAAAGTGTGTCATCACTAATCTAACTTTTTGTGATATTATCCAATTGCTTTTCTTAACTGGAGTAATTCATAAATTACTATTAATCTAGTATTTACAGTTTTAATGAGTCATCGGGTATTGCCTCTAGTATAACTGAAATTCTATTAGTTTGAAAACCTTTGACAAAGTAGAGATCATAAAACCTTGTTTCCATTTTTTTATTTAAATTTCTTTTTTAAATGAACTGTAGTTTCTATTTTCATTCTCTTGTTTTCTTACTTTCCTTATGCTTTCCTCTAGCAACCTACAGAGAGACAAGTATGGGAGTAAAACTTAACTTTGCCTATCAAATGTAAATTTTTTCAGCATGATTTTTAATGGGCACAATTAAAACATAACTAGCGGTCATGAAGTAGACTCAGCGGGCAAGTGGTTCACAATTTGCAAATGAAATGTTTTTATGTTCAAACAGTATTTGTATACTGCTTTTGGAAAAGAACATGACGTCTGTAGCAAACCCAATTGGTATTAGAGGATGTACAATGCTGAAATAATTTGCTATTTAAAACAAAAGCAATGTCAAGCAGAAATGCTTAATAATTTACTTTTATATTTCTACATTCCCACAGTAATCTTGCTACAGGCCATGGAAAGACTTCAAGTGAATTACCTGATCACGGGCAACAAAACTTGCCTCTTCAACTCAAATATATACCAGTCTACTTAACCCTGCAGTATATCATAGAAAACTCATTTTGAATTATCGAATATGTTTTGGTATCTGCTGAGCAGAGGAAAGAGAATTAAAATTATAGAAATCACTTTCATGAGGGAAATGAATGCCAGCATGTGGTCCATGTGTTGCCTATTACTATAAATGCCATATGTTCTGTGTGGCTAAAACCTCTGCAAGAAAGATCTTGGAACATGTATGAAATTACAAAACTACAAAGTTGTTTAATCAAAGCTTAAAGAGGCCTTTCAAACAACCATCATTACTTTGTCTAATTTGGTACACATGGAGAGCTGGAATAGCACAATACAAAATTACTTGCAAATTGTGAAATGGAGAATTCCATTTTAAAAAATCAGTATGCTGTTATTAAAATATGTTTCAGGACAAAAAATGTATCCCTTTTTTTTAAAAGGACAAAAAGGGTTTTTTCCCCAGAAGAAATTTGAAATTTCTAAGATAAGCTGCAGCTTTAAATCTGGAACAGAAATAAAACAGAAAATCTATAACCCTTGGAAACACTTTTTTTATCCTATACTCCTCCAAGCCTTGCATATAATGCAGCAGCCTCACAGTGGTCAGTTTCATTTCAATAGCATCACTCTTCATTCTTTCTTTATTTCCAGACATATCTGTAGATAAAGTGATTTTCTAGGAATCCACTAACGAATAATCTAACTTTCCATGGTACAGACTGTTCAGTTTCTTTCAAAACTTTCTCTCTTTCTTTGCCTGGGAAGCACTGTGATGTCATAGTTTACATGTCTTTGTGTCTATAGAAAATAAATTTTTTTATTACAAAGAAGAGCGTGTCATCATAAGATTCCAGGTTTTTTTCCCTAAACTTCTTTTCATATCTCCAACAGATCTACCCAATCTGTCATTCCTCCAGCAGCTTTAAGATGTCAGCCATGGCTGATTTTCTCCTCCCATTCCATAGCTAATATTTATTCTTTGGTTTAATTTCTGTGACCCATACTTACAGAAATTCCTAACATTTCTGCATTTGACCTCCATGTCCACAGCGTCTGTGGGCTTAACTCTTAATTGACTATGCTGGTTCATTCAGTGCTGTCACTGTGACTGATGCAGACTGCAGGGCTGCAGGCGAACTTTGACCTTTAGAAGCCTGAGGCCATTGTTGGCAGACAGAATATTAGTGCAAAAAATTACATTAAGTGGGAAAAAAGCTGTTATTGCTTAGTAATCTAATTTGCTGAACCCTTGCTCTGACTAAGTTGCTGAGAAGCTTAGTAATTCTTCATCATGTTACAATAAATCATTTTACTTTCTTTTATATATCAGCTACTCTTAGGCCAGATAGCCTGAGCAGACAGACATGATGTGAGTTGTCCAAAGTGAGTCATTCCACCTGCTGTCTATCGTGTTGTTGGATGGTGCTTGTGGGCCCCGCTCCCTTTAGTGTGAAAGATGGCTGTCCTTGTTTAACATAAATTCTTTGTATTTGTCCATTTTTTCATTCTTTTCTTTACTTCATCTCCAGAAAAAAAGGAAAATGTTAGAAACGTTGTTAAAGTAGTTGCTTGCCAGTTATGTGGGTTTATGTTATACATTTACCTTCAGTTATGTATGTGATCTAATTCCTTTTTAATTTAGTGTCGTTTAGGACAAATTCTGTTAATTTTATTTTTCTAAACCATGGTGTTGTACTTTAAAATGTAAATGTTTTTACAAATAAATTGCTTTGCATTACATATGCAAGGGCATGGAGTGAATAGTTTCTTGTGGAAGAGTCATAAAACTGACCTTAAATTATGAAATCAGAATTCCACTGTTCTCCCCCAAATTTCTAAATTGATGTGCCACTCAAGCCCACAGGAGAAAAAAAGTATTATTTTGAAATACATCTTTCCTATATAAGGTGTGCAACCATTTACAGTTGGGAATGTTCAATAACCATAATGTTTCTCAAGCCTTACTTCCAAGTACAACTTTGTCCTGAACTACATTAAAGAGTTTTGTACAAAAACAAGAAGAGTTGGCCAAAGGGTGCCAGGCAGTAACCCAGACTGTCCCTTTTTCTGTTTCAGGACATTCACTGAACAATGCCAGGGATACAAGTGCCATGGATACTCTACCGCTAAATGGTAATTTCAACAACAGCTACTCACTGCGCAATGGAGACTATAATGACAGTGTGCAAGTTGTAGACTGTGGACTAAGTCTGAATGATACTGCTTTTGAAAAAATGATCATTTCAGAATTAGTGCACAACAATCTGCGGGGCAGCAGCAAGAACCACAACCTAGAGCGCACGCTACCAGCCAAAGTTGTGATAGGCGGGAGCAGTAGTGAAGATGATGCCATTGTGGCAGATGCTTCATCTTTGATGCACAGTGACAACCCAGGACTGGAGCTTCACCATAAGGAGCTTGAGGCACCACTTATTCCTCAACGGACTCACTCCCTTCTGTACCAGCCACAGAAGAAAGTGAAGACCGAAGGAACTGACAGCTATGTCTCACAGCTGACAGCTGAGGCTGAAGACCACCTACAGTCCCCCAACAGAGACTCTCTTTACACAAGCATGCCCAATCTTAGAGACTCTCCTTACCCAGAGAGCAGCCCTGATGTTGAAGAAGATCTCTCTCCCTCCAGGAGAAGTGAGAATGAGGACATTTACTACAAAAGCATGCCAAATCTTGGAGCTGGCCATCAGCTTCAGATGTACTATCAAATCAGCAGGGGTAATAGCGATGGCTATATAATTCCCATTAACAAGGAAGGATGTATTCCTGAAGGGGATGTTAGAGAAGGACAAATGCAACTAGTGACAAGCCTTTAATAGTGTAGCAAAGAAATATTAAAGGCCATATACAAGTATTAAAAAGACTTAATTGGCCCCATGCAGGCTCCCTCATATCTGCTCGAAGAGACAATTCTGTTCACCCTGTGGTTCTCCGATGTAGAGGGGATGATGGACCTTGCAGTTCTGTGAATTTTTATAAAACAAAAACTTTGTATATACACAGAGTATACTAAAATGAATTATTTGTTACAAAGAAAAGAGATACCAACAAGGTATTTTAAGATTATCTTCTGCTGCTGAATTTAAGGAAATTGTGAAACAAAGAAAAAACTTCCCAGCCATTTTACTGCAGCAGTTTGTGAACTAAATTTGTAAATATGGCTGCACCATTTTTTTGTAGGCCTGCATTGTATTATATACAAGACGTAGGCTCTAAAATCCTGTGGGACAAATTTACTGTACCTTACTATTCCTGACAAGACTTGCAAAAGCAGGAGAGAGATTCTGCATCAGTTTGCAGTTCACTGCAAATCTTTTCCATTAAGGCAAAGATTGAAAACATGTCTAACCACTAGCAATCAAGCCACAGGCCTTATTTCATATATTTCCTCAACTGTACAATGAACTGTTCTCATGAAAAATGGCTAAAGAAATTATATTTTGTTCTATTGCTAGGGTAAAATAAATACATTTGTGTCCAACTGAAATATAATTGTCATTAAAATAATTTTAAAGAGTTTGAAGAAAATATTGTGAAAAGCTCTTGGTTGCACATGTTATAAGCTGTTTTTATTACACTCTGTTCATAGTACTATAGTATGTTTAAAATGCAAGTTCTACCCATTTTCACTTATTTTTCACTGTAAACAGTGTTCTGCTTTTACAAGTTAGTTTTTATTCTTACGTTTAAATTTTTTATTGCCAAAAGAACATAACATCGGGGCAGAAATTTTTCTTAGAAGCCAATTATGCCAAGCCTTGCACAAATTTGGTAAAATCTAGCTAAGATTGTAAATCAGTTCCCTGTTCATTCTTTAATCAGGGTTGAGTTGGGAGGGGGAAAGGGGACACTGGACACTTCTCACAAACTTTCTGGTGAGCAAAGGTGCCTGTCCTTTTTAAAAAATGAAATAAAACATGAATAGTACTCTTCCATATTCCTTCTGCCTATATTTAGTAATTAATTTATTTTATGATAAAGATCTAATGAAATGTAAATTGTTTCTGCAAAATTCTGCTTTTTTTCATCCCTTTGTGTAAACTGTTAATAATGAGCCCATCACTAATATCCAATGTAAAGTTTAACACCTGTTTGACAGTAAATAAATGTGAATTTTTTCCAAATAGGTAAAATGTGCATTATTATATATGAAGTGGAATTGGCACTAAACTTCCTTTGACCCAAGTGTATTTGTTTTGCTTAAATTGCTCCCTTTGTAGTTCATTATTTAAATTTTAAAAATACAATAGAATCTGTATGTCTGTTTCTACTGAATAGAGGTCATCATTGCTGCTTAGCATTCTAGTCACAATCATATATGATCAAAATCAGATACATGAGCTCCATTAGGAAATTGTAATGTAATCTCATGCATTTACATAACAGATTTTCTTTTTAAGTAGGAATCTGTACTAAAATTAAAAATTGTGGTAAGCTCTACAGTCGTATTTTGGGCAATGGTAATTAGATGTTTTTAAATAGTAAGGAAGGTGTATTTTGGCAGTGAGCAAAATTTTTAGTTGCATTTCTATAGTGGTGTATTTAAAGTGCTGTACAAACAATCACAGCGCCATTTGAATATTAGGAGCTCAATTTTTACCCAGTTTGGAAACTGAGGTATGGAACTGATGGTCCTGCTGAAGACGCAATCAGCAAGTCCATTGTAAAGTTGGGATTTGGAATTCTAAACTTTCCTGTTTCCCAGACTTCTCTTCCTTCCTGTAGATCAGTTGCTTATGATGTGAGGATGCAGAGTATAGTTTTCTTTCTGTATATATAAACTATGTACCGATTAACCCTGATTATTTAGATAGAGAATTTTTTTGAAAATCAAAATGGCAAATAAATAAAAGGACGGTTCAAGGAAATATTTCTGAATTTTGAATCATCCAAACTCCAGAAAATCAGAGTTGAGATAGCTAGACCTCACCTGCATTGTAACTAGGATGTTCAAAGATAAACAACAACTGCAAAATAAAGGAAAAGACATGTTTACATGCTGTCCAATTGGTAGAGCCTGCCAACAGGTTCCTTAATGCTGTCACCTTTGCAGTGTGTTCCTTGTAGGTAAGTGAGCTTTTCATCAGAGGCTGACTTCTGTTTATTGTAAGTGCTTCAAAATTTGGAAGCTGAACTGTTATGAAATTAGAATTTGTCCTGAGCCAGGAATAACATTAGATTTTTTGGGATCAAAATGATTTCTTAGTATTGTGTTGCAAACTTGGAAATTGATTTATTAACTTCTTGTGAGGATAGTCAGGCTTTATGTATTTGAAAATTTCTGTGTGCAAATATGTACTTGGTATATAAACTACAAATTAACTTAAGGTAGAATCTAGCAACCTTTTATTCATTTGAGTAACCCTCAGTTTTGTGTGTAATCCAGTTGAAGGCAGTGAGATTATTTGGTTGAATAGGATTTATAGTATTGTGCACTCAAATTACATGGAAAGTTAAAATGGCAAACATCTATAAAACTAGGACTTTAACTGAAATAGAATATCCACATACAAAGATAACAGAACAAATTAAGCTTAAGAGCACAGCTCTTTTTGCCTAGATATCCTAGAGAGACTTGATATTTTTATTGGCTTTTTTTCAGTGGATGGACTGCAGTCTTCCTGCCTTATAACTTTGCTAATGAATGTCCTGTTCTTAACAAATAGCTAACAAAAAAATAAAAAGTCGTTGTTGGGCTAAATTCTCTATGGATGTCATGCCTCAAAAGAGTGCCTTTGTGTAATTACATGACTGATGCTTGTTTGGTCTTGCTTCACATCTCGTGCCCTGTTGTCAAACCATCTTGCATTTGAGCCCATATCTCACAGTTGAAACAGAGTTGGATGGAAGGATTTGATGAAAGAACCCTGAGGACAACCAATTTCTGCCAGAAGCAGCATTCAGGATTCAAGAAGTAGTTTTTCCTCAGAATCACTACTAACTAATTCCCTTGTGGGTACACTTCTCTGGAAGGTGCCATTTTTCAGCTGAGCTAGCTGTAAATATGGTTACAGCCATTAAATATTTGCAGGTATTGGTGGTATTAACTTCAGTGCCTTAGTTCAGCCTGCCTTGAGTAATTTCATTCTATATGAATTCCTTCCAAACCTTTCAATGAGATGCTCTTAAAGGGAATGTTTATGTAATAGTGCTGTGTAGTGTTAAACAGCTGGTACATTACAATAGTAGGTAACACAAGCCTCACTGCGACTATCAGTGTAAAATCAATCCTGATGAAAGTAGATGCGATTTTACTTATATCTCTGAATTGGCCTATGGTTTGTGAATGTTATAAATGGTCAAATCTTGAATTACTTTGAGATCAAAGACCATATAGAAAGACTGGAAAGAAATAAAATTATTAATAAAACACATTGATTCAGCAATTTATATAGGCAGTAAAGGTTATATAAAAGCTTTTCTGCAAGTCAGCAATAAAATCTGTATCTGATGTTATATTTTACATTTTAAAACACATGAGAAAATTAGAAAATTACTTTTTGCAAGTCTCCAAAAGGGATGCTTCACATTAAAATATGTCATTAATCAAAAAACAATCAGTAAAAAATAATGTGAAGATCATTTTTTTTTTTTAAATAGCATCAAGAAGTTTGCAAAATGGTACTGAAGTGTAAGGATACCTCCACTGCCATATGCACCTTCATGATCAGTAGTTCAAAGTAGTTGTATGATGGTTCCACATCAGTATGTTCTTTCATCTATATTTTATTCATATTTTTGGAAATGATTTCAAAATTGTTCCACTTTGACTTGAAATTGTTGAGCCTACTTTTTTTTCCCAATCTTTTGGTAAAACTATCTTCTGGCATAAGGCCAAGATTTATAAAACTCAATGTGAAGTTTAATTGCGCAATTGGATTTTTAAAACTATGAAACCCTATATATAGTAATAAAAAGCAAATTTAATTGTGGTTTCAGAATGGCCAGATCTAGTGCCCTGTTAATACTGCTGCCAAGGGCGTTAAAAATACTTGATTTTGTATTCTCTTGGCTAGTTCTATACAAGGCATCTGCCCCTGAAAAATTCTAGAGAAGGAATAACGTGGAAAGGAGGCAGTGGAATTCGGTAGTTCAAATGATTTGTCTAAAGGTGTTTGGGACAAAAGCAGTGAAAAAGAGTATAGCGTGAGCTCTTTGAGAACTTGATTGTTCTTGCTGTTGATGCAGGGCCTGTGCTGATCAATAGCATCCCACTAAATAAGCAGTTTTTACATAGGTGCCCCAAGAATACACAATGTCCTTCAATTAATCTGGAGGTGTGCATATAAATAGTGGAAGGATGCTGGAATGCTGCATCTCGGTCACCATTATACAGTTTCATGGCATATTTGCCTAGGTGACAGCTTAGAATTGTATTTTTTTTAAATGTTAATATCAACTGATTCCCAACAGGATTAAAAACTAACAGTATGCTAGGCAAGAAAGCAGGTAGATGGAAATAGACATCTTATACTCCCATGTGGGGTGGAGGTGGGGATTTATTAACTTAGCTGAATATCTTGAGTTGTGAAGGTCATTTCAGCCAGGAGGTCCCTGATTCGATTCGGCGGAGTTTCAGCCCGATTTGATGGCCGAATCTCCAAATCCCAATCAGATCAGAGGACCCTTTAATCTCTCCAAATCAAATCGGAACCCTCTGAATCAATTCAGAAAGATTCGGACATAGACCCAGTTTTAAATGTGTTATCTACATAGCTCAAGGTACCAGGCAGCTTGTGAATACTGAGATGGTGGGGTGGATGGAGTGTCCCACAGGTGCTCCCCAGCATTCTTGGCAGCAGACCCGGAAGTGGACCAAGAGCACTTCCAGGTTTTCTGGGAAGTACGTGCCCGCTGCCCTCCCCCCCTATATCTGACCATTTCAGCAACTGGTGCCTCCTAGAACTAAAGGGGACACTCAGTGTCCCTCCATGACTGATCACTGGGGTGGGGAGGGGAGCCCTGCACACTCAGCAGCAGACCCAGAAGTGGACAAAGTACTTCTGGTCCACATCTGGGTTTGCCTCTGAGCATGTGGGGGGGACCTCCCTGCACTCCTGTGGGACACTCCATCTGCACAACCATCGCAGCATTCACAAGCTGTGCCTGGTACCATGAGGTTTGTCAAAAAAATATTTAAAGCTGTGTCTATGGCGGAATCACTGATTTCCCCCCCGAATCAGCATCAAATCTTCAGATCCGGATTCAGCTAAATCAAATTGGGAAT